CTTTTACCACTGACTGCTTAATGTTGTATACATCTCCATGGTTCATAATTAAACACAATAGAAACTAGAAACAAATCATTGTCATGACTTGAAACGATTCCCTCTCCTTTTCATTCATTCTTCCGTCCAGTCCCGTCCATTAACACGCTACTTGCCAGTGAGAAAGGACGACTTTGACCTGCGGGCTCACATCGAGTCGGCGGGCCACAGTGCAGACACGTGCTTCCACCTGTCAATCTCCGAAAAGACCTGTCGCGGTTACTTGGTCAAGATGGGAGGCAAAATCAAGACGTGGAAGAAACGCTGGTTTGTCTTCGACCGCAACCGACGCACACTCTCCTATTACGCAGGTAGGACAGAAGATGTACACACACATACTGCATTTTCCTGTATTTTCACAACTGAATATTAAATTTCATATCCATCTCCTGCAGATAAACATGAAGTCAAGCTGAAAGGAGTCATCTACTTTCAAGCTATTGAGGAAGTGTATTATGATCACTTGAAGAATGCACATAAGGTACCCTGTTATGAAAAATATGATTTTATCTATTTTATAATATTCTTCTGTCTCCTTCCTGTCTTTCTTCATTTTCTACTTTTCCCTATGTGCCCACTTTTCTCTCATCCTCGTGTTCTTCTACTTTCAGAGTCCAAACCCCTCCCTGACCTTCAGTATTAAGACTCATGACCGGGTCTACTACATGGTCGCTCCCTCTCCGGAGGCGATGAGGATCTGGATGGATGTAATCGTCACAGGTGCTGAGGGATACACCCAGTTTATGGTTTAGTGAAGGAGTTATGGCGGCAGGATTCGCTGACATGTTACTGCTCTTTGTGGCTCCAAAGATTACATTTTGTATTTCTTTTTTTATCCTTCGACTTTTTTTAAGCGTCTGGATGGATATTGTTGGCATCTCTGCTGAAGAAGGGAAACCGTTTCTGTTGAGACAGCTGCCTTGAGTTTTCTAACTTTCAATATAGGCAGGGGTTTACAATTATATGTGGACCATTCATGTGAAATAGAATAGGCAGATGTATGGTAATAATTTTGACATAGGCAATCAGGTTCAGGCCAAAATGTGCTTTGGATCACTGCAGTGCCTTGCAGTGGGCTCAGGAGTATTTCAAGGATTTGCACACGCAGGTGACATTAGTATATATATATATTTTTTTTAATTAAGGTGCTGACTGTAACCCTTTTTTCAGCCAGCTAATTTGAGCTTTATTACGTCCATATCAACATCTTGTTACTAACATCTACAGGGAACATACATAAAAGTTGTGTCTAGAAATGCTAAGTGCCAAACAACCTTCAATAATTTTAATGAAACATGGAATAATTTTAAAAGGATTTATCAAATGTTGGATCATTTCAAGTGTGTTGTAATCATTTATTCCTTTTCATGTTTACACAATAAATAATGCATATAAAGTTAGCAAATGTAGCTGAGCAAATATATTTTCTATTTCAACTTTCTTATCTTGATTTTATTACATGCATCATATATATAAAGAAGAGCCTTCTTTCTGTGCATACTCAATGTAAATATCTGTTTTCTATAAGGTTCCTATGACACTCTAAGGTGGTATTCTCATATATATTCAGTGACACTAATAATCCATGTCACAGCACATTTACATTGGGGTGTACTTATACACTTAAAATAGTGATCAATCATGTAAGATGTATTATTTTTCTGGGTTTACAAGGGTGTCACCGTGGGCTCAGAAATGAAGATAAAACCACTGAGTTAAATCAGAAAGATTAATATTTTCTTTTAATAAGCCTCAGAGCTGTGATATTTGTACATATTGTTTTGAAATAGTTATCACGGTTTATGTGGCATTATCAACTTAAGACTCTTGTTTGTGCCTTTTTGTCTATATTTTTAAGATCTAAGTTAATCTAAACACTAAATGCTGAACTGTCTGTGGTGAGAAAATGTGCAAATGAAATAGAAATATGTTCCTGTGTGGTTTACTGAGAAAAAGAACTTGTCTTATAATTTGCCTGGCAGACAAAATCTATGGTACACAAGCTCAATTAATAGACATTGAGTCATAAAAACAGGCAGATAATTGTGCTGCTTTGGTCCTTCAGCTTTCAACACATTGCTTGGATTGCCGTCAATGTGATGTTTAAACTGATGATTCCGCATTGATTACTGAAACTACTTTTATCATACTGGACAATATATCTAATACTGTCCTCTGACTAGTATGTTCATGATATTGCCTCATGACATTTCTTATTGTTTTGTTTTATTGACCAAAGTACATGTCCATGAAGTGCAATATAGACAATACATACACAAAGTATCCCCTGTCCCTTTCTTAAGTTGCAGTTTTACTCTAAAGATGTTTAATTCATTTTTCCCCTGATCAATTTACCGATACCCTGTGACAGTACGTAAGCAGCCTTAAAAAATGCTAAATTCATAAAGGAAATACTTTTTTCACCTTATATTAATGTTGCTCCTACTATACTGTATTTATACCAATGCATGTATCTTTTGTATTTCCATATGAACAATAAAATACAATTTACTTTTCTTATTGTCCATTTTGTAATAAATCTGAGGCTGGGCTTTATTGGGAGGGGGAGGGGCTTAAATAGAGGCAAAGGTGTTTCAGACAATTTTACCCTTTCAAGTAATAACCCACATTAAAATGATGAACTGGAATATGGGCATGATGCATCTTTTCTAACTTGGATCCTTTCAGATGTTCATGCACTTTCATGTCCATGGGCAAAACACAAGTGCTCATATTAGGTGGAGGGTTGCAATCCACAAGTGGCAAGCCAGTAGTCATGGAGCTGGAGACACACAGCTATATTTTAGAGATAAAGGAAAGGTTAAACTGGAAGCAGAATAACTAAACCTAAAGAAGACTGTCAGTGGTCACTAACTATGTAATCCCAGGAGGATGAAACATAGATCTGACCATTCTGTCTTAACCAATCAATCAAATTTGATTAGTTTAGCCCATATTCATCAATCACAACAAGGCTCATTGGTTCATTGCACCTGTGAGACCTGACAAACCTACTTGTTGCAAAAGAAATAACATCTTTACAAGTTGAACTAAAGCCTGATACTAGAATGTCAACAGTGTAGTCAAGAAGCATCATGTGGTCTGCAACATATACATTTAAGACCAGCAGATGTTGAACACAGTGTGACTGTGCTTGTTGAAGTACCAAAGTTAATGTTTTCCATCGGATAGTTGAGGCCATGGCAGGAAGAGCTGAGATGGACTGTGTCAAATTACTTACAGAGTTCAGTCACAAAGGTCAGGTGGAGTCATGTGAATATATTTAGTGACACCTTCAAACCAGAAGTGTGCACAACAGCAAATCAGACCGCTGATGACGTCGGCCCAACCACATCACAGCTTTGCTCTTTTAGTAAATCAAAGATGTAATTTTATATACTGCACCCAATGATCATTTACTATGTCATCTTCCCTCTGGTAATGTTTCTGGGTGGACTCAGATAAGATAAGATATGATATGCATACCAGTATATGTATATAGGCAGGTAAAGTATACAATATGAAGTAGTCTAATACCCTTGTGCAGTACATTTCCCAATGGGGCCATAAGCCATTCAGCAGTCCACAAACATTGCAGAACAATTTATTCCAAAAACAGACAGATGTTAAGGCCATCATCAGTTAAGAGGTAGATTCAAAAGCCTGAATAGAGTCATTGATATTAAGATCAGTTGGCCGAGGCTTCAGTTTGCTTTACTGGCTGATTTACCCTGGATCAGTTCAGTTCACCGAGCCTTGGCTATAAATAGACTGAGTGAGAGTTCTTGGGCAGACCACTGTGTGTGCGTGCATGTGTGTGAGTGTGTGTGAGAACTGTTCTGAGCCAAGAACCTCCTACAGATTGAGGACACTTGGGGAAAGTGAGGACATTTTGGCCGGGCATGTGCCACAAAGAGCACAGCCAATAGGGCCCGTGGTTATTTAAAAAATACTGATTGATTCAACAGTGAAAACTGGATAAGTAAGTTAATAATCCCATCACAAAAAGTAAGTTTTGAGCAATAAAGGTTAAGGTTAGGCTTTTAGTTTACCCCATCAAAGGGCTGTTTGAGGGTTAAGACTTACTTTTAGGGTTAGGATTAGAATAAGATTTTTGTTAGATCAGAGTTAAACATTGCACTTTTAAATTAAAATTAAAATTAAGAAACAGAAAAAAACAGAAAACGCCTCCATACTGCTCCTGTAGTGCCATCTGAGTGTCCATAAGCCCTGACATTCAAATTCAACTCAAAACAGTGTCATTTACACCATGTTTTTAGCCTAAATGTCCTGTTATCCTCCCCCAAGTTATTGCTATTATCTCTTTAATGAGTGCTACACAGGCAGATGGGGACCATTAAAAATACAGATTAATTCCTTAAAGGTTCAGTGTGTAGAATTTAGTGAAATCTAGTGGTGAAGTTGCATGTTGCAGCTGAATACCCCTCACCTCACCCTCCCCTTCCAAACATGAGAGAGAATCTGTGGTAACCTTCAGTTGTCCTAAAAAAACAAAAACATGGTGGCCTCCATAAAGAGAACTGGCTCCTGATGTAAATATAAAGTATATAAATGTAAAGGGCTCATTCTAGGGTAAAGAAAACAACAATCTGTAAAATTTAGACGAAACACACTCATGAAAACATCATCAGGATTATTTTATATTCAATAGTTCCCTTTCACCTAAATCTTACACACTGGACCTTTAAAACCAGAATCGATTTAATTAATAATCGCATCACAACTAGTGGAATAAAGATGAAGGTTAGGTATTTAGTTGTGACGGTTATACGGTCCAACTACCAGTTTATCGAAGGGTTGTTTGGGGGTAAGGTTAAATTGGGCAAAGGGTTTAGGCCACATGCCAAAGAGTGTGTGTCTTTAAGAATTCACTTGAAATGTGATCGCTGCGGGAAGTGTGTGTGTGTGTGTGTGACCTCACACACACACACACACACACACACACACCCCAACCCCCCACCCCCTCCTGTGCTGTCGCTTCAGTAATCGAGTGTCGAGCTTCACGATCCGCGCCTCTGCAGCCACCATGCACGGTCCCTGTTGTCACGCTGTGGGATTCTCGGTAAACATCGGGGAACGCACACGGAGCTGCAGCGGGAGGACAACCGCACACCCCGCAACTTGTTAGCGTGTGTGTGCGTGCGTGCGTGCGTGCGTGTGTCAGGAGGCGGGCTGTGTTTTCGACATGGATGTGTCTTCTTCTACTCAACACACACGACTCCGTTCTGCGCGTGACCCTGGGAACCACATAGCGCAGAGAGTGACGCGCTAATCATCTGGATGAAAGGCGAAAGGTACGTTGGTTTCCTCCACCTGCGCTGTTTTCATGTGTGAGGGCTGCTCCACACTAACACCACCAGGCCAGTGTTTGTTCCTCCTGCTGCTGTCCAGGCAATGCGGCGTGAATTGGCTTCGTGTGCGCGTGTTTGTTTGTGTGTGCATATACGTGCGCGCGCTTTGCTACATGGCTTTGAACCGTTTGAAGATAACGTGTCGTTCGGTGGAAATGGGATTCTAACCTGCGTCTTGTTTTTTCGTGACGCTACTGATATGCTTTCGTTTCCAACGGCCCACCCCGTTTTACGCAAGCGCATTGATCGTACGTGCCAGTCGTCATAGGAACATGAGTGAGGGGAAAACAACCTTTCAGGAAGTAACCTGTGTCATTCCTCTGCAAGGGGAATAGACGCTACCCTACCAGAGAAACTGATGCCAGGTCTGTTTTTGAGGCAGGCCCAGGCGTACCAGGCTTAATGGATGTGCTCATAACAAACTAGAAGAACACTTAGTATAGTGCAAACCGTCCTTGGAAAAATGAGTCAACCTCTGTAACTATGTGGCCTTGGTAGCAGTGTACTGTTTGTGTGTACCTTAAACAGTCTGTGCTTTGGAAGCATGACAGAAGGCAGAGAAGAAGAATTGTTTTCATAGTTTCTGCAAGTGTCCCTTTAAGAACAATAAAAGTATTTCTGCCTTGCAGCATGATGCTATTTTAAAGTACTGGTACTCACTGACCACTATTGCATTATGTGCAGGCAAAAGGAGAGGGCTCTGTGGGAATGGCTCCAGTTCCCTGGTGGCTTTTTCTTGGTTACAGCGATTTCAGTGAGGCCCTCAAGCATTTCTTTGGTATAACACGGACAAAAGCAGGTAGAAAATCAAAGAGGCTAGAGCTCTAGGGAGTGAGGTGTGTGTGTGTTTTGTGTGCCTGACCTGGAAGATACTCAGTTCTATTGCTAGGGAGACCCACTGTAAATATGTCTTTTAGGTTAACAGACTTGGCCTCTTACCAAGGGCTGAGAGTCAAATTAACCAAAATGCAAATAGCTCAATGAACCACGCACCATAGTTCGGTGGTCTGGACTCAGAGTGGCTGCAGTGCATGGACCTCTGTCACTGACGTACATTCACTGGCTGCATGCCAGGTTGAAGAGTTGCTAATTTTGGATCTTGTTGACTTGCTTTTGATCCAAATATAGATTTTTAGGTTTAACAATGGCTTTAAGCCATAGAGCCGGGTTTTCCTGCACACCACAACAATTCAAGGCCTAGATTTTGTAGTAAGTTACGTATGAGTAGGAACGAGCTAGATTTTGTTGAAACATTGCGTGCTGATAAGCATTTATAGCATGAACCCACTCTCATGTTCCACCACAGTGTTGACCCCTTAAAGTAAACTTGAAATACCAGTCCCACATAAATCCCCTAAAATAGACAAAATTGAGTTTAATAGCATTCATTACAATCCACTTTACATGTACATTAAATAGTTTTATGATATAAATATTATTTGGGGAGGAGATATGCACACAGGATTATTTGAAAATAGAGTCCTGTAATTTCACATGAAAGAGCACTACTCTTAACAACCCCAGTTCCAGGTATGTCCTCCATACAGAGACATACTGTATATGTGACACCGATAAACTAATGTGGATGCTGTGATTAATCTGAGTAAAGGTTGTGATTGGGCAGAACATAACAAACACTTGATAAACAACAAAACATTTCACAAGTAGAGGTCAAAAGTTATGTGCTTACACAATGCATTTTCTATATCGTATTATGGGATAATCATTGATATTGTTCTATTGCCCAGCCTCACTGACCTGAAAACTTACTTCACTATCTAGGTCAGCTTACTTTGGCCAAAGTCTACTCTCTAACATTTACCCTCTTGTGTCCTTCGTCCCACAGTGGGGTTGGATGGCCATGGACCCATTCAGCCAGCTTATCCTCACCATCTCAGTGACCAGTTTCCTCACTTTCCAGTGGCTCTTCCACAAAGTCAGCCCCTGGGTGTCCATACGAATCAGCCCTGGCTTCCTCAGCCTCAGTGACAAGCAGAAGGTGGAATGGAACTCGAGGTGAACTGAATGAACCGATTTTGATGAGTTATAATACACACATGCTATGTAAGGTAGGGAGTGTGCACTCAGCACGGTTGTTAGCCAGAAGGGATTTGTTTCAGCTGGGTCCGAAGATAAGCACTGGTCAACCCACATATCTCCTGTGACACAAGTTTCTGACTCACAGGTAGGATGCAATGTGTGTTTTGCTCTACATGGCACTGCTTCAAGGTTATAGCAGTGTGCTGGAAACCCAGTGCAATGATGTTTTTTCCTCAAACTGTCAAAACAACTTGCTCAAACAAGTCCTTCCTCACTTTCGATAATGTGAAGCATGGGCTGCAAGCACAGCAACTCTTCCTGGAATGAAAGTCTGCAGTAATCCTACACACAAAAATGGCTTGTTAGGCTGTATTTGTAATGTATGTTATTTATTCAAGATTTGCTTCATGAGAGTAATTGTCACAATGAGCATTGCTACCCATAGTGAGACATTGATTTGATTGTAATGGAAAAGAACTGTTAGACTGTCTCCCTGCTTGACTGGGACAATGTGCCATTCTGTCTAACCCTTCAGCAGTGTTTTATCTATTAGTCTAATTGGTCTGAATCTGTCTGCAGCCCTGACTGGGGATCAGTTGATTCACTGTGCTAAAAGCTCAGTGCCAAACCTTAAGACAAGGCACCTTTCATGAATAAAGATAAAAAATAAAGAAAAATCCTTTTGAGAAGCTTATTTAACATAAAATCTGACATTTCCCTCAGTTGTATGTTTTGGTGTTTCCATTATAGGACAGTTTCAACGTTTCACGCACTGTTGGTGGGAATCTTCTGTCTCTACATCTTGTTCTTCGATGATGCCGTCAACGAAGACCCAGTCTGGTGAGAGTTTTAGGCTGGTACAAATCTGTCAGAAATGAGAAACCGACCTGTGTTACTTGAGAAGTTATATCCCCATTGTTTCAAATATTACAAATAACTTTGAGTGTACCTCTTCCACCATCATCGTTGGAGTCTGCTTATTTGTTGTGCCATAATAGAAAGCTTGACAGCCATGGATGAGAGGTGGGACTTGGGGTGAAATTAGCTGATTTTTTCTTCTTTTTTTTTTTTTTTCACAACCGATCGTAATAGCCAAACATGAAACATGAAATGACCATGGCCAGAACATACTGAAAAAATGTCATCAAACAAACCCAGTCATACCAAATGTGTATTTTCAATAGGGGAGATCCTACACTGGTGAAGACTAATGTTGCCATCACAACAGGCTACCTCATATCTGGTAAGAGAAACATACTGTTTAATATTTGTAAAATATCAAAGGACGTGCACACAGTTTTGTAACCATAAATTTGATCCTTTGATAAGAACATTGAGTTTTAGCCACAGACTATTCTGAATAAAGTTTACAGTATCCTTTTTATCAGTTGTATGTACTCAAAATGTTTTGATCGCACCCATGACATGTCATCTCTCTGTCCTCTCTACTTCTGTTTTGCAGATCTGCTGCTAATAAATTACTATTGGAAGGCGATAGGCGACAAGTTTTTTGTAGTTCACCATCTGGCAGCGTTGTATGCTTACTACTATGTACTGGTGAGTGCCCTATTGTCCAATAGCAGAACGTGCAGGCAAGATGGGAAGGAGACAACCAAGGGTGAACAGCTGCGTCCTGCTGAGTTGGGTGTGAATTTAGTCGTTGGTCAGTGAGTGTCCATGATTGTCCACATGCAGCCATTCAGCTCATATAGGTTATCAATATGCACCAGTTAAGCATAGTGAGTATATGTGAAAAGAATGCACCCCAAACTGTACAAACATCAGAGAAGGAAATTGTATGTATGGACTAAGTCCAGAGTTTTGTGTGTGCAGCAGTGGCTAGAGTTTTGAAGTTATTTAGATGTTTTTATGTTTGTTGCTACTTCAGTGGTTCTGATTTGTTTTAGATTGTCTCAGAATGACCAATTGAACACAGTTTATACAGTGTCATGAGGTGTGTTGCATTAACATTAATATTCATAGGTGACGTGTTAGGCTACATCCGCACTAGTACGTATTCATTTGAAAATGCATCAACACCACTCGATTTCAGAATCGATCACAAAATAGCCTTCACCAAGTTGTTAGGCTCCTATCACATGACCACCTTCTGGAGGAAATGATCGATATCAGCCACATCAACTTGGATAATCAATTCAAAGCCTTGCTGACCCAGTTATCTTTGCTAACTGCTGCTGTGGACTTAAATTCTGCGTCTAAGAATGATACAACTGCTTACATGCATAGAAGACGAGATATTATTGGAGCAATTCTGGTTTACATTGGCAGGTACATGCCCATTTTACATGAATGGTCATTTGATATGCGTTTTGATACACTCTCAAATGAAAATGTAGAAGTATGGATGTAGCCTTTTTTTTGACATATTTCCTTGAGGTCCAGAAGTTTGAATTGTAAAGCCCCTGTTACCAAAAAACACAATGGCTGTTTTAATGTCATTCTGTGAGTTTTTTTTGTGACGTCAGTTGTGGGTATGGTTATTAGCCTGATCGTATTTCCTGCGCTGCTAGCATGCAGTTGGCTCCTATCTTGACGTTGAGAGTGCCGAGGGTACTCAGCAGTGCTGTTCACTCTTGGTTCAGTCTGAAACCCTCTAGGTCTCCAGGATCTGTCGCATAATATACTAAAGACATGAATGACTATGGTATTTTTTGCATGGAATGCTCAATAGTGGTACTGGCTGATGACCCCCCTCCCTTCCCCCCCTCACCTTGCCCTTCCGGTTTCTGTGCTCTCTGTATGTTTTTACTGATCCCCTTCAGTGTTGTTATGAGTCAAGCTGAGCTTTTCGGAGCTTAGCTCAGCTGAATCCTGAGCCGTAACCACTGTGTGCATGGCGGCAGCTTCAAACACAGACAGGGTTCCTTTCTCTTTGCTGTGCATGCCAAACAAACAGTATTTTACTCTCTCAATAACATACCTGCCTATCTCCAGTACCTTCAGCCTGTCTTGTTTTTGTGCCAGAAGTCTGCCTCCTCTTTCTCTTCCTTCACACACCTCTCGATCCTCCGCAATGAGGGAATACTGACAATACCGCTCCGATAATGGAATCCATTTGACCCCAGGTGGTTGAGTCTATCACCAAATAGCCAAGTCCTTTTTCTAATACTATGCTGGATGTATTCTGTCAGGTGTACTGAGTGGTTGATTGCTCTTAAAACTCAGTCTTTTCCTTTATAGCCATTTGACTTGAAAACTTGCAGGGAATTCCGTCAGTTTCCAAACAATAAATGCTCTGTATAGGAAAACTCAAAAGGACATATAGCGTGCGTTGCTCTGCTTCTGAGTCCCTATATTTAAACTGTCCTTGGATTAAAAATAAACAACTAGATGCTTTACATTGCTTAGTTCTATACTTGTAGTTTTATGTTGCCAGTGCCAAGTTAAGGACAGCACTAAGGACGACTTGTGTCAATGCAGAAAGGCAGATTTACATTTTACCCTATTTAATATTCAAGCCCTTGGCTGGATTAACAGATTTCTTCTTAAATCTTCGTTTAAATCTTCGTTGCACTATTACTGAGGATTATTACTTCTACACACTTCTACATCTAAATTGAAACAGTGTCACATTGTCTTCACAGTGTTCTGATTGATTACTGACTGTAATCAATTCAGTTGGAGAAACAGAGCAAGCACTTGTGTCTAAAAACCATTAGGTCAATGAGATGAAGTAGGCCATACTGTTACTGGACACTCATGACTGTTTCCTCAGACTAGATCTGATGCTCATTTGGGATAACAGAATGAATGCTCCACCTCATTACTTTAGGCACTATTATATTTACAGCAAAATCTTCATAAAACTGCCTACCCCTTGATGTCATTTTTCATTTGATTTAGTTATGTAATCAAAGTTGTCATATTTTGTCTCATTAGTAGATGTGTTGAGTGTGTTTATGTGGAAGTGTACATGTCAAATACACAAAAACCCGGACCTATTCTATACAGTCTAATTAAGGCAATAAAATTAACTTGGATTTGGGAAACCTGTATTTATTATTATTTATCTTGGTATGATTTGGTTACTCAGTCTGCCCCTAATCTTGTGAGAGTGTTCAATGACTTTTAATGATCTGATAGCAGCATAATCAGACTTTTGTATAAGTCACAAACCGCTTAACCAAAAAGCAGAAAACATATGCTGTTCAAATATCAGATGCATGCATTCTTCTCAATGTTGTTAGTCTCGCTTCTTAGTTGCTTCCAACTGTGGCGGCATCTGTTTTTTTTCATTTCAATTTTTTTCTTCTTCTAATGTTTTTGTCCAGTCTGTCTGTCTCTGTCTCTTCTGCTGACTTTAACACAAATAGCCCCTCTTTAAACCCCACATGCAAAAACTACCAACAAACACTTTGAGGTGTGTCATCCCTGTTCATGCAAAAACTACCAAAAAGGGTTGTGTATCATTTAGAGACCCCAGAGCTGGATCTGGATCTAGATGGGGACTTCTATTCCTGTCTTGTCTGCTGTTATTGCTGTTGTGTTGCACTGAGCAGATATGATGCCCAGTCACAGTATGGACTTACCAGTTCCTAGAGGTACTAGCATTCTCATGCTAGTTGGAATGTTCAAATCACATGGTAGAAACACTGAAATGCAGATGCACCCTGTTTGTGTCACGTAGTAAGTATATGTCAATGGCCAGTTTTTGTTTCAGCCCTGACGGTAAGTCTTCTTTTACATGCTTTATAAATCAGGCCACAAGACAAGTAACCTTCAATCCATTTCCATGGATATTTTTTGTCCAATTGAATACTGTAATTTTTGATCCGAATCAAGAGTTTGATTTGTTTTGTATTGTCTGGAATGAGACACTAAATAACACCAAATAGCAGCTCTTGCTAAGTCAGAAATGCTCCCACTTCCAGTGTCAGTGAGCTTATCTCACATATCATTCTTGATATTACTAGTTTCATCAGGAATTGTCTCAAGCAGTCATAACTCAGCTCTGAGCTTGGATGCAAGGTGGATAAAAACTCACTGAAGATGATTACATACAAGATGGAGTGGAGTTCAGGCCACGATCTCTTTAACAGTGACATGTTTGGCAGTGAAAACATTTTACTTTTTTTCTCTGCATGGCTTTTAATCGCTCCTCCAACCAGTGCCTGGCTGAATGAATGAATGAATGTATGTATGATTGTACAGTATGTGTATCAAAACCTGTGCTTTTGATATTTGCTCAAAACCGTTTTTTTTATTGTTGAGATATTATTCAGGGGAATTGTCTCTTGAAAGGTTATATATATACTGAGACAAGTGAAATCAATGAAAGTTATTGCCTAGATTGATATGAATTTGTACATTGCCAATTCTTTGTGCCCCTCCTGTAGGGCAGAATGAGTTCCTGCTCTCAATAAATAAAGAGAATTAATCAATCGGAAGTGAAATTGTAGATGACAGTCTAATTTTGGCCTGCAAATTCTGAAGGAATGATAATGTGCCTTGACAGAGGAGAGTCTTTTGTTAGATGTGTCAAATAGGTCTAAGTTTGGGGGGAACTTCATCTAATTTTAGAGTTTCCCCCTTCCTCGCAATTATTTCTCACATTGTTTTCTACTGCATGATAGAATACAAAATCTGATTAGTGAGGAGCAGATTGTACAGCAGCTTTATGCCTGCTGGTCCAAATGACTTAGTTGTCTGGTTTTTGTCCCTTTCATGTTTTGTGGTTTTCCTGTTCTTGCCTTGTTCTTTCAGGGCGAAGGAATGTTGCCTTATTTTGCTAACTTCCGTCTGCTCGCTGAGTTTTCTACACCATGTGTGAACCAGCGGTATGTATCTTCTTTGTGTTATTTAATTCAGGCTTTTTACTTTCTGGAGATGTGTCAGAACAGTTGTTTCGATTGTTAGGGATTGTAATAATATGTACAACTGGTCGCATGTCCTGTTTTTAGAGCAATTTTGCAACCATTTATCTTGATGAAGCTGAGGTCCTAACTGACATACATAAACTTTCATGCACTGTCAAGTTTCAAGTTATTCATGACTGAAAGTTTTTGATATTGTAATTTTTTTACTGCTAGATACTATATTATTCAATTTGTGTTGTGTTTCAGCTGGTTCTTTGAGGTACTAGGTTACCCCAAGTCCTCCCGGCCCAACATGGCAAATGGCGTTGCCATGGCAGTAGTCTTTTTCGCAGTCCGGATCGCTGTCATGCCAGTCTACTACAGTCGCATGTATGCAGTCTATGGCACCGAGGCCTTCTACCTTGTGCCGTGGGGTGGCCGCGTAGCTTGGATCTGCTCCAGCATCTGCTTGGATGTCATGAACATTATGTGGATGCATAAGATCGCCCGTGGCTGCTACAAGGTGTGGCGCTCGGCTCACCGGAGCAAAGCCGGCACGCCTCAGGAGAATGGGAAGACGGATTAAGGGAACAGGAAAGTCCGTGGCCACGATATGGACAAAAATGACGTCACTCTCAGTGCACTGGTGAGCAACAGGTCGGACCCTCATGTCGAGCTGCTTCAGCAGTAGCACATCTGGGATTTGTGACATTAAAAGGCTGAATGTAATGAGGGAAACTGAGATTCCTTTTGGAAAGTGGGTACAGTCACTGAGTTGTACCGATGGACCAATTAACTGGCCGTCCTTAAGCCATGAAATGACGTCTTAGCAATACTCTGCGTGCATGGCCACTTTTTCTCTTGAACAATTTTACGACTCCACAAAAGAGGGTGTGCGGGGACAGCGGACTGTTAGCCCAAACCACAAATTGTCAAAAAGTTTACCGTTCTTTACATATTTAATGCTCAACACATTAATTTGAGTTTTTGTCAACAAAGAGGCAAACATTTGAGGGAACCGCAAAATAAATGTATTGGTCAGTGCCATGCAATCATTGGGAGAGGCCTCTTGAGGGAGAAGAGTCTAGCATCTCTTACCCGCCCCCCCCTTTCTTTTAGATGCAGGTACTTGATTGAGATGCATAATGGGTAATCAGAAGAAGTATGAATACATCACCTGGTCACTCACTTGTTTTCATTCACTTAAAAGTTTCATTAAAAAAAAACAGCCTTTAAGAAATGTATGGCGACGTTGTGAGTGTCTTGGTGGCATTTGCATTCGAACGGTTAATTTAAATTATATAGGGGTGAAGGGCATCAGTGCCACATATGTAGTCGAACAGGACACTGATGTGTTCAGGGTACATCAGTGCAGAAGTGCTAAAAGGGAAACTGAATGTCAATACTGTGTTTTGTTTTTGTTTTTTTTTACTCTTGATATTGCAATGCAAGGACCGTAACCGTTATGACATAGAGGCCACAGTTACCATCCGATTTGTAAATACACATGAATCAATGTGACATGCCACATTAACACCAATATCTTGTCAACACTCTTCTCTGGAAGTCTGCTTTTTTAAAATTTATTTCACGTTGTGCATTGTATGTGAAGGGGTGAAACTGACCTTTAGTGCGGATGTGGAATCTGTGTCATAGACAAACCTAATGTTCCATGAAGAGTTATGAGCTGTGTCTCAATTCAGGGGCTGCATTGGAGGACCGGTTGCGTCATGGTGGCAAGATTAGGCCGTTTAATTTCAAAGACCCCTTCAAACATGGACGACAAATGAGTCCTTTTATCCCCAAGAAATAACTTCAATGGGTGGAACTATCCCAATCTATCCCAGAATTCATTGTGTTTTACTGTTTTTCAAAGAGGTAATGCCTCCGGCATGTAATGAGACATCTGATGCTTAAGTATCACACTTCAAGTCAAACGAACAGCTAATGATGCGCATGTTAAAAAAAATCAAGGGGCATTCAAACTTTCTCGCTGTATCCAACTTCAGCTCTGTTGCTAAGTAACAGCAATAAGGGCGGGATGAGCTGGTGACACCGATCATGGAAATCCTCTATAGACCAGACCGTCTCATTGTGGTTCAGCCTTAGCGGTCTACCCAGCCTACCAAGACCGCCTCCTCTATTGTCCGGGTAGACTGCGTCCTCTGAAGGAGGCGACCCGTGAATTGGGACACAGCTTTGGTTGGAGGTTTATATAATATTCACACTTCCTCTTAATTATTTCTTTATAGGCACAAACTGTTAATTTGACCCCTGGGCCACAATTGTCAACAAGCTGCATGCTGCTATGTGTTTTACAATTGAGGAGTAAGTTGTTTTCAGTGTCAAAAATCTGTGTTTCATACAGTTTAAAAGTTTGTGTCAGAAAATGTTTAATAATCAGAAAGAGCATTGTATTAATACCAGCCTCTGCCTCCTGTTATATATGATTTACAAGCTGGACACAAGGATGGTGTTTTAAGTTTTTTTTAAGTGTTTTCAGTGGGTCTAAGTTCTACTTGTTTTGTGACGCATCATTCTACTGACCACCATACAACACTGAACACACGGAACAACTCAGCTCAAAGGTATTAAAGGTATGTGTATCATCTGTTTAGAAATTAAAAGTTGCGATTCATCGGTGATCCATGATAACTACTTGAATTTTGAATTGTAAATGTGTCTTTTTATGAGCTGTACATCAAAAGCTGTCAAATGTGAAAGCGAAACAGGGATTGCTAATATGCCTTGCTTTGTGTTGAGAACTTTTATTTTGTGGCCTTTTTTTGTTGCAAATTATTGTTGCACGGTGAATATTTTGTTACACGACTCCTCACAACACTGTGATTTACTTGTGTTTTTTTCCCATGTCCAATGTGATTGTTAAGCCTTTTGTAATAGAGCAGTTTCAGATGTAAAAACCAAGAGGCTTCACGAGGCTGGTTGTTTTGACGCTTTTGCTTTTGTTACGGATTTTAAAATTGACAAACCAACAAAACAAACAAAAGACCTTACATTGATGTGCCAGTGCTTGATCCTTTTACAATTCCATGGTTAAAAAAATCTTTTGGTGTCGTCGTAGGATGATGCCGGTTTTGTTTTCCATGCAGCGGTGCCAACTCGCAACCACGAGTCAGTGGTTCTGATTAGTTCTGTTCACCATGCATGCTGTGGCTGGTCACAGCAGCAATGTTTAGGCTCGTTTTCGTTTGCCATCGTAAGACATTTCAGTTGGCTCCATTAAACCAGTGTGTTTTTTGGATCAGGGTGGATTTATGTATGTATGTAAGGCATATGTCATCTACATCACAAGAGAATATCACTTATCTCACATCTTAAAGAGCATTGAGAATGTGGCGTCTTAATACGTCAGTGGGATTCCATAGAAAATCTTGCAAGGGTTTCAGGACGGCAGCAGACGGCCACTTCTGGTGGAAGTGTGCGGCTCTGAACAGGGTCATGCATGGTCAATGTCTTCATGCATTCTCTATTACTGCATGTAGTATTGCATGGGTATGCACTGTAAAACAAGCATATACACTTGTGAGACTAATTCTGTTCTTTTTTTCTTAGTACATGTACATAATGTTTACTTAAGCTTTATTCTTGTACTGTGTCACACAATGTAATCCACAAATGACAATGATGATGGTGTGGGGGAAAAAATTTAAAAATTTAAGTCCAATATCCAGCACAGAAGTAAATCGTTAAGGGAATACTTGAATATAAATCAGCACAGTTTATAAGAACCTGGGCAGTGCAAATAAACCTGTATACTATGAGCATCTTGCAACATACGCGTACCATTGTCTTTAGTTTATTAATCTTAAGAGAACAAAACAAAGCAGACAATAATTATGGAAACAGAGCGTGGCGCCTTTGTCTGCTCTGAATGTACAGGAGAGATGTAGGTGGAGAGTTTGGTGACGTTCCATGAATGTGTTGGAGATGAGAAAATATTTGTCACTTGCAATTTTTTTTTCACTTATCCATTACAATAAATACCAAATTAACCCTCGGCCAAGAAAATAATGTTGTTTTTTAGTACTGAATCAATGAACCATTAATGTGTTGCATGGATTTCATTCTACTGCCAAGAACGTGACAGTCATTATTACTTGGTGGGACATCTGAGCATATAAGTTATTATTGCCTTTGTTTATGTGACATTTTCTTTCAGGAAAAGCAACCTACAGAAACTGCCAATAAAGACTTAAAGTAAACTTTGCCATGTGGAATTTTATTGCTGAATTTTTCCTGGCAGCTATTACGGCAATTATTGAAGCATTTCCTTAATCGTATGTCATGGAAATTCAATTTATTTTGCCAAGGCACCTCGCAGTGTGCATATTTCTTTGCAAAATGTATGCATAATTTATTCTTTATTTTACAAAATGCTCCTTCAAATATTTCCAGAAAAGCCCAAACAGTCTTTCTCCTTTTATCAAATTACAAAACACAATGCACATCACTTCTGCCCCATGCTGGTAGAAGCAAGTTAAAATCTTGTCATACAATGCAACATAAATCTTTATCTGCTCTAATATATGTCTTAATATTTTTGCCATACCAAGTGTATGGTAATGACTCACATGAGCCACAAGAGGGCGGTGTTGTCCTGTGTTTCTTTCCTTGTGCTATATTGTCATTATCAATAAAAGGGTGAACTAACTTATGTATTTACTCAATTTGAATTACTGCTGTCTGTTTGTCTGACCTACCATCGGACATACAAGTTAATGTGTCAGCCTGATACATCTGCTAAACCTCACACGTGACTATATTGGACTAAAAGGGTAGATTCTGAATTTAAGCGTATTCTCTCAGCTACAGTAGAAGGGCGTTGAACAAAGCAGTCACCTGGTTGGAGCCATGGTAATTAATCTATCAGCCTATCTGTTTTCTCTGTTTACCTGAAAATTACCATTCAAAGGGTAGAAAACAGAAAGACAAACATTCAAAAGAAGATTTAATCTTTTTTAACTTAATTCGGGGGGGGGGGCAGGAATGTCGAGTCCCACTGTTTCAAGAAGAGATGAGAGTATCTTCATAAACATGGTTACAAGATATAAACAAGATGGGCATGTAGCAGCGCAGAATGGATTTCAGAAAGGATTACAGACAATCAGATCAGAGATAAACACGCAAAACTAAGAGTCTGTCACATCTGTGTTTTACCCATTTGTTGGTGGGAAACGCTCCAACACACAATTCTTTGGTTGTAGCTGACTGGTGGGCATAGTTAC